TGGATGAACAAGTTTGTTCTGGAATGTATAATCGGTGGTATTCCACAGGCGGATATATCAGATTTATGTTTGGGCTTTTCTCATACAGCAAGCAGTAGCAAACATAGAACGCATAATAGCACCACGCCAGTTTGATATAAAAAGAAGTATTTCCCCCCCCCCTTTCTGGGCAAATGAATCGTGGATATCTCCTTCAAGATCTGGCGGGCGAGCGTATGTTGAGCGGTGGGTGATGGCTGGCTGGCTGATCGAAGGGTGAGCGTGGGTGAGAAGCGGGGAGGGAGCGTAGAGCGTAATCGATAGGTGAATGTAGGGTTAGTAGTGGATTGGCGGGAGAGAAGCTACTTAAAAAGCTGTTTTTCTCGTTTTTCCAGCTCTGAGAGCCGACGCGCTGGATACTCATATATGGAGCCATGTTGGGAGTGCGTTACGAGGTGTTACAGATCAATTAGCGTGAGGAAAAGCTGTTTTCCTGAATTTCCCAAAGTTTTTACTCGATTTGTGATATGTTTCCATAATCAGCGGAGTCGATTTTGATGGATTCCTGAAATAAATTTTGGATCATTACTGATGCGTGTTCTACCTAAGAGTTACACCTTTGGGTATTAAAAAGGAGAAGAATTTTAGTTGAGCTCCAGCCCTTAAAAGATGTCCACGTCAAAAGAATTTTATTGTCCCAATATCAGTCTAACATTTTAACAAAATGCTAAGGATTCGCATCTAATCCCGACAAGATCAAATGAATCTTCTAATCCTCACCCTTCATGGTTCTCAAAAAACTGCGTTACTTCTCTTACTTGTTCTTTTAATTTAATAGCTTTTCCTGTTATTGAATATTTGTGCATAATTAAGACTGTTAGTTTAACTGATCACTAGGTGAAAAATAAATGATAATCGCATAAAATTCAGTATTTTCTTTGAAACGATTAATTTTGTAGTTGGAAAACACGAATTAGCCCAGGTTGAGTAGAAAGAAATGAAAACGGTAACACTAGAAATAATGTAGGTACCTTAAACAACATAGGACAATAGAACGGTCAGTTTCTAATTCAATCGAACAAACGCTGATGAATTGTTTTGTTAACTTTCTAACAAGTTACACCTTTGGAATTGTTCTGTTAACAAACTATAGAACAAGCTCTCCTGAGATTGTAAGCATTAAAAGTATCAGATAGTGAACAATAACTCGAATCAAATAGACGAATTTATTTAAACCGAAAACTATGTTTCATGCGCCATGGAAACCACAAGCATGATGCAAGATATCGAAAAATCACAGTAAATATTTGCCAAAACAACATGCATTTCCGTGAACTACGTCTCAATTTGGCTTGGACCGGGGAAGGGGGGGGGCGTGTCACGGGAGGTCGGGGGCTGCGATGACGGCGTCGACGACGGCGTCGTGGGGCTCGCAGGGCACGTGCTCGAACAGCTGCTGGCGGAAGGCCAGCGCCAGGGTGGCGGGCGGCGGCAGGCCGCGGCGGGCGCGCTCGGCCCGGCACTCGCGCAGCCACTCGTCGTAGAAGCCCCGCCCGCGCCCCAGCCGCCGCCCGCCCGCCGCCGCGAACGCCACGCCCGGCACCAGCACCAGGTCGGGGCCCCCTGCGCACCACGACACGTCACTATTAGGAGGCCGATTCTGATGGCCTAAAAGCACTGACAAAAGTGGTCAATAAAATGCTCTTAAACTGCTTTCAAAATACCCGAAAAGCGAAGAAAAATGACATAAAAATGTATCAAAACCAATTCAGATGAACAATTCAAGCTGTTGAGTATGTAACAGATGTAATTGTGGCTTCTATCTTTTCTTCACATGAACTCAGTCTGCAAATGTTTGGTTTGGACTGTTCTTTAAAAGAAAATCTCTGCCTTTATTTATCGCGAAATCGGCCAAACTGACAATGGCGCCGGTATGCGTTACAAGAACCTGACATTACATATAACTCACATCGACTGAAATTACAATTTCTGAGCGAATAAATCGAAAAGGCTACTCAGGAATTCTGTGGTGAACATTTGTTCCACCTCGTAAACATTGTTTGAAGCAATTACCATTAAAATGATATTTAAATCGATGAAATCAGCGAAAAATGAATTAAAAATTACGTAGAAAGTAAAAAAATGACTTATTAGTCGAAATTGACGAAAAAAGGGACATATAAAAATGGGTTATTTCCTTTTGTCATAATATGAAATGAATTTCCATACTAAACGGCATTGTTCTAAAGTAAACCTCCCGGTCAGAGGCACTGCAATAGAAGTACGACTGGAGCAGGGGTGGGGGTTGCCATTTTCTTATCAAACGTACGAAATCATATCTGTAGTTCGTTCGTATAATCTTAGGGTGGGGAAAGGTTTCTTGAGCTGAAGAAAATTTGTGGAGATTTTACTTCTCCCCCGTAGATCGCATACAGATTTTACTGATCTTTTCTAACAATAAATATATACCCAAATTGATATTTCTAACGGAATAATTTGCATACAGATATCTTCATTGTCAAAAAACAGTTATAGTACACGAGTTTACCCTTCTAGATATTGCAAATTATTTCGTATTACCACATTTTGTGTTTACCTTTTGCTCTGCTAGAATTACCCAAATTGTTTCTACTCAAAAGAAGAATATTTTTACTAAAAATTATATATTTAACCCTACTACCCTAGAATTTATGATGGTATCAAAATGTATGTATGTAAATTGAATCGTACGGTCGGCGTATTGAGGAACTGTTTAGAAAACTTAGAGCGTGCAGCGTATAAGCAAAGCGTACTTGGACCAACATCACTCAGCAGTCCATCTGCGAGCGCGAGGGCCTTGCCCCTCCCCTCATGTCACATACTAATCAACATACATACTCCGATTTAAATGTAATGTCCCTTCAAGGTCACGTGTTGGAGGGAGACTGCCATTGAGCTTCGTTACGACTTAAATGTTTGCTATTGAAGCTCCCGATTGAATGACAGTGTGCCCCTCTCGTTCCGGCTCGTGATCTTCATTCAATCAATTAATCAGTGTTGCCTCATTTAAGGGGCGAGACACAATGCAGTAGGCCTGCTATTATACCTGGCCGCGCAAATTTCGCCACGTAGCTTTGGCCATATAGCAGAGAAAGAAGGTATCACTTGGGCGACGAAATAGGCAATTTGAATTTTCCTTAGAGACTTATTTTAGGCTTGAGGATCTTGTACATGTAGCAAATCTACAACATGGGACAACCGGCTTTACATCCCCTCCTAAGGAAGGCGTACGAAGGAGTTTTTCGCCCTTAAACATCCACGGCTTTGATCGGGTTTGAGCCCACAAACAAGTACAGTGCGCCAGGAGAGTCTCTTCGAAAAGAGTCAAATCAGGTACTCCATTTAAAAATTATATTTATGTTGATAACAACCATATCGTAGGGAAACAAATGAAGGGGACAACACTTCCAACATTATGATTGTGGTGAGTACGCAATTTATGTTTTTATTTGTGGCAAGCTGCAGTGTGTGCTACCAACATAATTTCCGTTGCTAGCATTCTCACCAGTTGCTGGTGCCACTGCGGAGAGATTGGCGTACTAGACAAATGCCCGATACGCTAACCGTTCCACCACGACAGACCCGTGATACCACCGAAGCAATCTAGAAGGAACACTACATTTATTTATTTTATTTAATAGGTAATTATTACAAAAAAATTAGATTACTTGATCCTATGTGGCTAGGCCGAAGGCCT